ACGGCAATTACCTGTTGTAGAAACACAAGTGTAGAGGACGATGTTTCGAAAGTCTTCAGGTGGAAGACTTTCGAAACATCGTCCTCCACACTTGTGTTTCTACAACAGGCAGTTGCCGTCCATTGAATAATGTTTTCCGTTAGCACATCGGTTAGCTTTAGAGGGTTTATAACACTAAAATTTGGAGTTCGAATTCCCGCGGTTGACACAGTGCAAATAGCCCATTTTGTAGCTTTACACTAAAAAAACAAAAGAAAACGAATCTTAATAGGAAAACTGTCCTGTAAAAAATTTAAAACATAACTCGCTAGACTGTTTGCTTTCAAACTTATCATTCATAAGACATATTCAAGTGTTTTGAATATAAGAGATGTCTTGGACATTAAATCACATTAAAACAGCTAAAACAGCGTTAATAGGAATAAAATATTGCACTGCAGCAGCATTTAACTTTTAACCATGTTTTGTTTATGGTTTTGAATTCGAATATAATTTCAAATAGAGAATATTTAAGCCTTTTTATCGTATATTACAATTATTGTATTGCTAATGAAAACTACTTCCTAACCTAGAAATAGAGAGAAAATTATTTTAGTTAATTAATATGAAGACTTGAAGTGGGTGTTTGAGACGCAGTCGGTTACGAAAGGATCTGTGTATTTATTACGTCTTTTCAACCCACGCTTTCGGCGCCAGATAGAAATTGAATAGCTAGCTATACTATAAGTTATTGGAGCTTCACGACACAATAACCACAAATATCCACCAAATAAAGGGGAATTTGATTTTTGTATCCTTGAATGTTTTTATTTTATACACAAAACTTGTTCGTTTGTTTCTGCTAAATAAAAGCTACACTCCTGATTACCTATGTTGTGTCTACTTCGGGGATCGAGACCCGAATTCTAGCGTTGTAAACTGTCAAGTTTACCGACAGGCCACCGCGAACTATAAATAAAGGTGGATTATTCAGGAGGAGAGCAGATGTAGTTTAAGCCTTTTAGATTTTCATTTTTGATATAATTTCCCAACCTAATCCTATAAAACTCTTTTAAGGTGAGAAGATATATTATTATGTATACCTACATTCAGTATGGAAATATTTCCAATAGCATAAAGTAAAACCAGAACCACAAACGTTTATTATGGCTCTAGATGATAATGTACTTATTTCACAGTGTCTTAATTAAGTAATCATATGGCTATACTGTGTATATTTTCTATTATAATAGATATGTGAGTAGGCATACGTTATAACAACTTATCAAAAGCTATTTTATGTAATAAGCACTACGTGGGTAAAACAAATATACGTATTTCTGTGTTCATGTTATGACTTTTCACGTATATGTTAGAATTTCATTTAGAACTTACCATTTGTAGAAGCAGAACAATCTAATTCCTGGATAACGCAGTCTGGATCTGCAATTAACGGTCGGTCAGAAGGCCAGTCTATATATCTTATCCACTGGTTGTCTGTTACGTACAGATCTTCTCCACGATCAACATTCAGGTCTGCTATTTCTCTGAAAACATGGTCATTTGGTTGAAAGTCAAGTAGCACAAACTTCACCACAAGGTCACCAACTTCATCTGTTTGGCTATTTCCCAATAAAGAAGGAAAAGTGGCGTTTCTTGTGTAGAGCGCAACGTTAGCCACACTATCCTCTTCAACAGATCCTTACCAACTTTGGTTAGTGAAAGAAGAAGAAGCTGTGTTTGATTTTAGTACAAGCAGTTTATCAGCTAAGATTTAAGCTATCGGTTAAAGTATTAAAAAATATATTAACCAAGATGTAAACTGTCATGGTTTGATAACGCAAGTTTTTGTCGATTAGTGTTTTTATTCTTTTATAATAAAAGAAAATTAAACAAATTATGATTTGGAACTGAATTGTGAAACAAATATAACAAAAATAGTATTCAGAAAAAAGCTACGTAAAGAGTGATAAAAACTGAACTGTGCTCCAAATATAATTTACCAATCAGTTTGTGTAAATATAGGGGGAGTTAATGAAGACTCTAATGCTTATAGTTATCCTGATTTATCTTTGTGCTACAAATATAAGTTGAAAAACAAAACCTCAATTGTTTTTATGAAATTTTAATATTCTATTCATTTTTTTTTGCAGGATCTGGTTTATTATTTTTATCATCAATATTCTTCGATCTCGTTGTTTCTTACCGCGTTACGGAAGGCTCACTTATATATTCAACCAGACAAATCACATCAAGACTAACACGAAACCTTGTAATTCACACATAAGTATGAACCGAATGTAGGCTTAACTTAATATACTTCATAGAATTACTTTCATAAGTATGAACCGAATGTAAGTTCAGCCTAATATACTTCGTTGAATAATTACAAAAGTAGTGAACCGAATGTATGTTTAACCTAATATACTTCACTGAATAACTTACATATGTATGAACCGCATGTATGTTTAACCTAGTATACTTCATTGAATAATTTACATAAGTATGAACCGAATGTATGTTTAACCTAATATACTTCACTGAATAACTTACGTTAGTATTGATTTGCTGTTTTCATAATGCTAGTTCTAACAAACTGTTTTACTCTTATTAGATCTACACTTATTAGTGTTGATACTTATTTTAATTGTCAGTGCTATTAGTATAGTACAGCTCATGATTTTGACGGTTAGCATTAGTATGGCTATTCATTGCTAGCAACTATTTTTTTCTCCTTCACTACAATAAATAACGTTGGTACCAATAAAATTCGTCATTACTCTCTACTGAACAGCTATCACATTTATTAAAGTACTCACTTTAACATCATGCTTAAATTACTCTCTCTGTTACCAATAATGCTAGTTGAAAAGCTTGAATGAAAAATAATTTTCCATATTGTTCTTACAATAGAAGTTGTGTTGAGTATTTCTTGAAAAACGTTTTCGTTTTCTTCACTTTTCCAAATTTCATTGTAGGTAGTGTTTGAGTTAACCACAGTCACAACAAAGACGGCTCGTAGAATGTCGAGGGACAATGTGGACATTATAGGTAATGATGTGGGATGTAACGTAGTCATTACGTGCAAGACAAAGAATGCGAAACGTCCGTCGGCCCAACCAAGTTCAGCAGCAGCTTTTAACACATTGTCTAGTAGGGGCATAGTAACATCCATGCTCAGGATAATAGCTGGAAAAACAATATTTTTTCATATATGTTAAAAATCTACAACAGTTTGTGAGTATAGTATACACAACGTAAAGAATCGTCTGAATTATTACGAATTATTAACTTGGTCACCCCTCGTAATATGTGAATGCTGTGTGGATAAAAACAAATTCTGAAATATATCTACTACAGAAACATTTAACCCATTTAATTTCAAACTATATCTTTACAAAATATGAAAATACTAGTTGTTTACTGACCGCAAGCGTTAAATCTCAACTGTTGTATTCCCGTTTACCTTAGAGTTAGGATTTTCTCTTGTGGAGAGAAAGTCATATGACATCAGCAGTTAAAATTTACTACTAAGCCAGTTGACTGTGAGCAGTTAATTTGAACTTATCATTTTTTTTCTTACACGCAATTCCTCTTACGAGCTTCTATATACAAAAATCACCCTGCAACTAACAAATAGTATCGATTTAGCATTGCCACAAATTTCTGGTCTTCCTTAGAAGGAACTTTAAAATTTTATCCATTGAAAATAACATTAGCTTAATCTATTTTTCAAATCTTCTTTGTAACTTGCGCGTAGTTTTCTGCTTACATGTTTGGTTTTGTAACAAGGTGTAAATTTCGGAAAAAGTACAGATTGACTTTTAAGGGGTTAATTATTTCTTTAATAGATACATGTGTTATCTATATCTATAAAGTACTCACTTATTTCATGTAATGATCAAATTAACAATTTGGTAATTGAACTGTTAGGAAAAGTAAAAAAAAGAAAAATAATAACGCATTTTTTTTAAATTTTAAAGTAAGATAAAAGCAAACTTTAACTAATTCCTTATATATACGTTTGCATTTACACATTGACTGTTATACGTATAGGCGGCACATCGTTTTTTAGAATTAACTGAAACTTGTCAAGTTCCAAACCTGTGTCTGTTTTAAATTATTAACGATATTTAAGAACCGATCGACTAGTGGTATTCCGGGTCCTATATAAATCAGTTTATAGCTACAGCACATATCCAGGTATCAATGGCATTTGTTTGGATTACCTTTGGTATTTCACTTATGAAAATGATAATAGTACATAGTGTGTTTGTCTGTGTTTCTTCAGTATCAATAAAGATACTAGGTTCGGAGGAAATAATCTCGGCTAGTAGTACAAATCATTTCTGTGCAAAAGCCAAAAACATCATTTGACAGAAAAATTCGTCCACTATGTCATCAATAACATGCAAACCATTGTTAACTTTTTTTATATAAGAAAAGCTCGAGATTCCGGCAGTATCAATACTTTTAGTATATCTTAAACTATAATAATAAATATTAACCAAATCCGAATACCCATGTCGAAAAAAAAAATGAAAACAACTAGCAGGAATTTAGTTCAATTATCAGTTCCCAAGATTCATAGCTTTAATATCTCCTTAAAGAAGGTAAAACCATATTCCACTGCAACCTTCAACATGTACATGAGCACTCGAATTGAGGGGAACGAAGGAAAACCATGTTTCCCGTGTTAATAGGAAGAAAATATCGAAACTCTGACTGTCAAATCCCTAATTATGAGAACATGCATCTGTAAGTAGATTTCAGGAGTTCCCTTGTTAACTTTTTTTTACAACTTGACTGCTGTTTACACGTGTAAGAAAGGTGTTGTTTTTGTGAGCTATTCTAGCAAGAAATGTCATTGTGACCACAAAAATAGGATAAAATAATAATTCAATACAACTATTAAGTAAAAGCAAATAATTTACAAATGCAAGCAAAAAAGATACAGCATCAAACTTTTCAACTTCAAAGTTCTATGAGGGTTGTTTGTCCACACAAGGATTACGTGCGCGTGGCCATCCCTAATTTTGAGCTAATAGATTCACGGTTTAGGTACATTAGTTAACTAGGCCACGTCCAACCTGCTCCAAAAGGAGAACCATACCAACAACATAATGCTTGTCAGTACTAATAATTTCTGGTC